ATTCACTCTGAGATTACATTTGAATTAATATGATAATAGTGTATAATAAGAAAAAACTAAAATAGCTGTGAACATTTTAACAAATAGCCACATTTATGCTTTTTAAAACCCCTACAATATACTACAGTGAGAGTTTAGATTATTATAATACATGTTTTATGTATATAAAGCTGTTAATTATTGTTGATGATTTGACCTTGATAACGTGACTAATAATAATAGTATAGGGCCTAGGTAAAAAATGATTGAATGTTAAACTCATTTTCCTACATGCATGCATTTTCTCTCGTTCTTGCATTTTGTGGTGGTGCATATTGAATTATTAGGCCCATGGCGAATCACGGTGAACATCGTGTGGGAGTCTGTTTTCGTTGCACTGTAAACCGTTATAAATGAGTCCCTTAATGCTGATTTGATTGTAACCTGTGCGTATTTTACGCAAAAGCAAAACATTGTTGATTGAATTCACTCACTATCTCTTTTTACCACATAAACACACGGTATAAAATAGATATTTCCTTAATCTGTGTAACATTTTCCGTTTAGCATGAGTCCATAATGTAGCTGAGATTTTATTTTAAATATCCTGGATGTCAATTGTGACAAATCCTATACTCTTGGCCAATAATTTGTATAATTATATATTAGGAACCAAACTTCTCTCACATTTGGTATGTTCCTCCTCCCTCAGCTGCCTAAACCCACCAGGTCAGTGTGAGCAGCTGGCTGTGTGCACCTGCAGTGTCACTAAAATGTGTCGTGTCATCGCCTCTCTTAAGCTCCCCTTCCCTCAGAGGTGCATTTGATCGCACATAAAATAAATACAACATCACATAACCTGCCGTTAACATGAGCCTGCGTCTTTACAGCAGCAGAGGCTGGCGGTGCATTTGATTTGCCCGGTGATGGATGAGAGACAGTGCAGGAGGGAGGGGGTGTTTGGCCAGGGGCCGGGGGGTCCCGTCGGTGCTCCTGTCCCCGCATTTCAATCCCCAATTACCGGAATGTGCCGTGACGCTCCGGCTCGAGACGACTGTGCGAGTCTAACCGGGTTACAGCAGCAGCAGCACCTGCACTCTCCACTCAGGTAGTGTAGTGTTGATACACGTGATCAAAATCAACGTGGGCCCTAGCCTACCCCTCAACAGGAAAATAAAATACTGATACAAATAGGATATCATACTGTTTATTTTTATTTAATACCATTAATCAGATTTTTTTGTGCAATATTGTGCCCTTTATGAAGGTCGATGCTTTAATCTGGGCCAAGGTGCATCATATCACTTAAGGGAAGTTTATAAAGACATGATGCATATACATATCATAATTGGGACATTTAAACAGCCACTGGTTGCAGTGAAGAGCATCAGTTGCTGCTTGACTAAACGTAAATATTGTAAACAATCCCGAAATTATAATAAGATTGGAATGGAAAACGTGAAGTGAATTACAGTTTAATGAGAATAAAATCATTGTACAGCACAAAGGCTCACCAGGCTGAAGTTTTGTCAATTTCCACAAATGTGGTCATACATTTTAACCCATCAAATTACACTCACACTAATTTAAGTCCACTCTTACATCAATTCAACATGCATTCATCAGCCGGAATATGACGCAGAGCAGCTGCGGTTATTCACATGCTGCGTACAACTCTCCACTGCGGCACCAGATCTGTATTATCCTAATGGATAACGGCATGTTACTTAAAAAAGAAGCTTTTTAGGATAAAAAAAAAAAAAAAAAACAGGTCCCGGGAGACACACACACACACACACACACACACACACACACACACACACACACACACACACACACACACACACACACACGCACACACACCACAGCTGGAGCAGCGAGGGATGGCCGCGCGCAGGAGAGCTTCTCCAAACACGCTAATTAGATCTCGAGCTCTGGCCCCGCGCTCTGAAAGCAGCCCAGCGGCGGGGCGCGCGGAGCTGTGGAAAGTTAATTGAATTAAATTCCCTCTAAACTAATTAGGCTGCAATCTGCCACGCGAGCTGTCCCTGAGCAAGGTTCGAATTAGGCGGAATGGATTCTTTCCTTTTCTTTAAAAGAAAGGAGGGCAGACTGGTGTGTTTTTGGTGGGGTCCTTTATTTGTCTTTTATGCTAATTCTCCCAGGGGACTGTCACGTGATTGCCTTGCGGTAACCGGAAGGCATCCGGTGTGTGCAACGTCTGTCCGTCGGTCCGGCCCGAACCACAACAAAGCCACTGAAAGCCCGACGTTAACTCAAGAGTCCAACATGTACAAAGGCTGCCGCTGCTTCACAGCTGCATGGATGAGGAGCATCTCTAGAGCTGAGAGGACTGAGGTAATGGAGGTGACATCGATCGCTTTCCTGGGGGAGCACAATAAAGAGGAGAGGGAGGGAGGGAGAGAGGAGAGGAGTGCGGAGGGACACGGATGAAAATCCCCCGTTAAGAGCAGCGACAGATATGATAATGGGAGAGCCTGCAGTCGTTCATCATTCACCACCTCCACCTGCTGCTGCACCTCTCAGCTGCTGCAGCACAGAAACTGCTCTGAAATCAAATGCACCCAAACTTCTTCAGCTATCTTTTTGTTATCAAAACAGAGATTAGTAATCATAAGCAGTAGATGTCATGAGCATGATTTCGAATATTAATCAGCATTGTTCATGTTCAGAGCATTTATTTTAGACCATCTCAAATCTAGGGCTTTTTTTACTCAATAAACCCGGCTACTTGTAACTGCCTGGACAAAATGTGCCACTGCTCCTGACTAACAGGAGTGTTTTATGTATAATGTGCTTTGTCTGTTTATTGATTAATGTAAGCCTATTTTACCTGAAAGGACAGAGGTGAGAGGAAATGAGAGGGGAGAGATGGGGAAGGACAGCAACAGAGAACAAGGAACCAGGGATGTTTAGCACCGTGAACACCCCAAATGTTATCTGTAATTGAGTTGATTAGAGCTTGTTTAGATAATTTACACCAATAAACTAAGGCCATGCATTATTACTGACTCTAGTGGCTCTGTGTGCAGCTTGAGTTTGTCTTTGATCAAGGAACACAATAAGTTACCAAAGGGAATGTAGTCTTTTGGTACCTTTTAGTTTTTTGCTTTGATACATGTTTGATTTCTCCCATCTTTCTTGTCTCCTGTCATATTTGACGTTTTACCTTTACTTCTCTGGGACAGAAAGAGAGACAGATGGACAGCAGTCCACGAGGGAAGGACTCTGAGAAAAAGGTGGATGAGAAGCTGAGTATGAGGCGGAGGGAAGATGGGGGGATGGAGAGAGCGAAATGTATGGAGATAGAGTGAGAGGGAGGTTAGGACGATGGAGGGCCAGGTTTCTGTTTCTCCATAATCTAATCAGAGAAATGGCAGCAGTCAGAAATAGCCTGACGGACAGACTAAGAGCCTCTTCTCTCTCCCCTCCTCCTCTTATTCTTGTCTTCATCCTCGGGGAGGGTAAATGGATACACACACACACACACACACACACACACACACACACACACACACACACACACACACACACACACACACACGCCAGCTTGACTTCCTAAAACCATAAAGTGTAGATGTGTTTGAGGGTTATAAGAGATTGAAAAAAAGCCTTGAGGTATCATAGCAAAACCTGATCTACTGACCAGATTCAGCTACTTCAAGAGTCCCACTTTTGAAAATGCATGCAGGTCTGTGGCTCATTTGATCCACTTCACAGCATGCAGATAACATTTTATAAATAAATACAATTAGTTTACAGTGCAGACTACTAGTAATGTAGCCACAGTGTAGGGTTAGGTTCAAGAGTAGTTGTCAGAAACCTCTTAAAATCTGTACTTACCATTGTTTCAGTTACCGTACAACGAATCACCAGGAAACATTGAAAGGGAGCCAACAGTAGTCGTTATGAATTCACAAAATAAAATGTATTATTCTGCTGAGGTACGCTGATGAGGAGGGTCTAGATAAAAGCGACAGTCGTTTTTCAATATCCATTACTAAAACTATACTAATCATGGAGGAGATGGAGAATAAATGGATACAACTTTCAGTTTTCAATCATTTCTTAGTCTTAGAATTGCCTTAAAAATCTTGTTGGAGGAAACTGCTTATGTTGTTATTTTCATTATTGATTTATCTGTTATTTTTTGACAAATCGTTTGGATACTTAAATGTCAGAAAATATTGAAAAACCGTGAATCGCAGGTTACCAGAATGAAATCTTCAAAAAAAAAAAGTGTATCTGAGAACATACAAACAATTAATTTAAGATAATAGAAGACAGTGTAAAGATGCTGTAAAGATTCTCTATAATGTAATTGATTGATAGCAATTTATGTCATGATGACAAATTGACTACCAATTATTTTAACGCTAAAGAATATAATTATAGCTTTTTACTTTCCCATATCAACAGGGAATGACCACTGTGACTCAGGCTGTAAAACAGGCTGAATGTGTGTGTGTTGCTGGGGGGTCCAGGCGGAGCACAGTAAGAGTGAATGTGTCCTTTTCCTGCATGCTAATTCGTCCCTATAGGGGAGACATTCCTGCAGGGTGTGTGTGTGTGTGTGTGTGTGTGTGTGTGTGTGTGTGTGAGAGAGAGGTCTTCTACGTTTCTGTGGCATTTGGCGCGCTGCATTCCCTACCAGCGTCAAACACAGAGCAGAATTCCAGGGAAATTCCTCTGTCATGTTATTTTACAAGGTGGACAAGCGTTATTGTTGCAGAATTCCCACCCAGGCACTGGGTCTCTCTCACACACACACACACACACACACACACACA